AGTAAACATGGATATGGATAGCTGCCCGTTTATATATACATATGTATATAGAGTAGGTACTCTGAAATCGTATATGGTATTACAATTACTATAATGATACGATTTCTAAGGTATTGCAGATGTTATATAGATGAGGCAAAGCTATCGACACGATATATCCATATGTTTGTGTGCAGAGATATGTACGTATATAGTTAAAAGAGATTAGGCTTTGGAGAGTTGGGTATCATGGTAACAACATTCTCTCAGTTATTTATAGATAGATACTATCTTGTGTAAATTATTGTATTACTTGTTATGACCCCAGACGTGGGCTAATTAAAGCTTATAGACAACATGGATCTGTTATCAGATGGCAGACGATCAACTACTGTCATAATATACCATAGTGTTGATACTGATTCTAAGAACTACAAATGTAACTACAGATCTAATAGCTTGCTTGTTTATTTTATTATATATTCGAATTAGAAACGGATTTCATATTAGAAAATTTGCTTGAATTTCGCCCAATTATGAATAAAAAATCACTTATCTTTCTCTCCCTGAGTATAGTGCAATTATCACAGCTTGTGGCTCAATCAAATATGGTTAAGAGAAATGCCTAATTGTATATCCAAATCCCAGTCAGACACGCCCTAGAAACTATTGGGCATCATTTTAATTGGATTATAACAAAATAACTTTCACTTTAATAAAGCAAAATAAAAGAAGTTCTGATAGATCATCGCACAAATTATTTGTAGATCACGTCTTGATCTGCATATGACAATACTTTCTAATGCCACAAATGAACCAAAGCTTAAACAAATATATACATACATATATGTAAAACATATGCATACATATACAATTTATGTAAATGTTGTTTATAATCAGCAATAATTGTTTGTGAAATCAAATCAATCGATGTATTGCCAATATTTAATTAAAGCCTTGGCATACATTGTAATCAAGTTAATTTCATGTATGTATTTCTAAATATTTTGTAATTCACCTATTTTTGTATTAGCTCTCAACTTGCATACTCCAAATGTAATCGAAATGCAACTTACTCAGAATATTTGCGTTATCCAAGAAGATGCAAGAGATAAGCTCACAAAATACTGTACATCGCGTAAGCATAACACACACACACACGCGCACTATCTCTCGCACATGCACACACACGCTTACACATACATTGATATGCGTGCATGAATAGCACAAGCTTTACAAATATCGAAAACGTTTGATCCGCGACTTTTGCAATGAATACGAAGGAAAAAAAAACAACAAAAACAACAAACAAACAAAAATAATAACAATAACGTATAGTACCAGTGGGGATATGCACGCCTAACTAACACAATTGATGCAACATTTTGAGGCAACGGTTAATTTGTGTTAACTGTTTGTTGCTGCCGGCAAGAATCGCTTTTGAAAGAGAGACGCGCGCGCGGCACGTGCTTTGCGAACAATGGTCGACGCTTGTTTAAGTCTTGAATCTTTTAGTCTGCGGTCGGCGAGTCTTCGTTTTCGACTTCGAGTTCGACTTCGACTCTGACTCCAGCTTTGGCCACCGGTCGCCAAAGAAATGTAAAAGCCGCCGCAGCCGCTGCCGCTGTTGCCGTCGCTGCTTCTGCTGCTGCTGTTGCTTTCAGCGCTCAAAGCGTCAGCGTCGTAGCAGCAGGCGTGAAAGCTCGAAAGCTTCTGCTCGTTTGTTTACATTGAATATTTGTTGTTATTATTGTTTAGGCTACTTTGGAATTACATGTGTATGTGTGTGTGTGTGTGTGTTGTGGTGGTTGTAATGCGTCGATGCGCTTTTTGCACACTGCTGGGCTTTTTCTGGCTTCTGCTCGCTCTCTTTTTTACGTTTTTCGAAATTTTGTTGATCTTAAATTATGCCCCATACCCTATGTAATTAGCGTATGGGATATATGAATAGAAACATAAATTTGCATGTATGAAAAATAATGTTATAAGGATGGAAATATGTTATAAGGATGGAAAATATATTTAAACTGAATTAGGGTTTTCTTCAAGCTAAGACTTTTGCTATATCTAAATATTTTTATTCTGCATTTAGCCATACTCATAAGATTTACAAGTTTTGGCCTTCGGTGAAATCTCTTTGATTTCCCTCAAATATTTCCATGATATAAGCCTACTCATAATCATTAATATTAGATGCACTTCTAGCAAGCAGCTAAACAGGGTATCTGCCGGCCAACCACTGTTCGACTCAAGCACTCTTACTTGTTCAGCTAACTTTATTCAATCGAGTTTATGTTTTTTTTTTATTTTTGAATGCTTTTTATAGCCAGAGCCGCGTCATGCGCTTCTAGGCAGCTGGGCAGCTGTTTAGCTACCATTGTTTGGCTGCTTGTCTAACGGAACAAGCGTTTCTTCTTCTTCTCTTAGCCATGCTAAAGATACATATTCCATTTACATAAATACCAATAAGCATTTATGCATATGACTAAACCTATTTTCTATGCACTTCCAATATCCCTTTCATCAACTGAATTAGGTCTTTTGCAATTGAACGCGAGTTCAGTTCGACTCGGTGCGGTTCATTTGAGTTCAGTTGACTTTATAGTTGGTTAGTTGGTCTTTATTTTCTATTTATATGCAATCAGATAACTAATTGTTAATTGCAATTGGAAACTATTTCGTAAAGCACTTCATTAGCAACTGCATTATAGCCAATTATCATTATCTTTGATGATCATGCTAATAATAATCAAACTCTTGATTGAGCACCTTGGAAATAGCTTCCAAATTATAGACTTTTGCGGCAAGGTCATTGAAAGTAGCTTTAAATTTATATGATATATGTATATCGTCTATACATGTATGTAGATATGCCTATGATGATTATATCATAAGGCTATTATGAGAGCAATCTGGGAATTACTCTCACTTAAAGATAGAACTTCAAGTAGGCTTTTGTAAGGCTATGGGCTAAGAGCTACACTTCCGAATTTTGTAACTATACTTTTATAAAAAAATAAATATTGTGTGGGTACAGAATATCAAAAATTTATTGTTTTGGCATTTGTTTTGTGAAGAAAGTCTCGCCCAATATTGCCCAATCAATCTGCAAAGCCTTCGAAAGGGTAAGGTATTTTTATTTATTATGGAGTTCCATTAATTTTATAGCCCAGTGCTAATCTATTCCCGCGGTAACTACTATCTCGGTTTTTACGTTTGGTTAAGCCATTTCGGTTTATACAAAATAGGCATATTAAAAAATTGCGGATGCATTCCCAGTATTTTAATTACACAATAGACAGTTCTTTCTAGAGGTAAGAACGAAAGAGACAGAGAGAGGTGTGTGCCAACCGAGCATACACATTAGCCTCTCTCTCTCTCTCTCTCTCTTTCCCCCTCTTTCTCTTTGATGCCCATCAAGTGCTGCCTCGCTGTCAACTTCGCTCGAATTGCGAATTTCGAATATAGAACTTTACAACACTAGAAGACTGCCCTATGCAATTTGCCACTGGCTCGTCCCTGTGTACCACTGCTGCTTTCAGTCTTTCACTACGTAATGTTACTTAACAGTTCTTACGGCTAATGTTATGCTAACATTCGTCACCCTGTTAAATTTGCAAACATAAGCCAGAGTATTGTATATTCGGCATATAAAAATGTATTTACATATGTATGGTGTATAACCTACCTGATAGCACTTGCTGCTGCCAGATTGGGCGGGTGTAGCCTGGTGGCGCCTCCAAAGCGCTGTGGATGATGATGTGGATGTGGATGTGGGTGTGGCTGATGCAGCAGCTGCTGTGCACTGAAGTCGAGCTCATTGTCGAGTAGGCCGTAGCTGTTGTTGTTGTTATTGTTGTTACGATTGCTGCAGCTAAGCCGACTCGCATGGGAGCCGCGCTCCGAGTTGCACTTGGAGCCGCAGAGCGAATTGTCGCAGAAGCGACAGCACTTATTGTAGCTGAACGTGGAAGTGCAGAGCGTACAGAAGGAGTCCAGCTGTGATTCGGCATGATCGTCATCGAGATCATCGCCATCCATGTCTGCGTCGTCGGCGTCGTCGCCATCTGCATCCACCTCAGCGTCAGTGTCCATGTGCAGCTTGTGGCAACGCAGCTTCAGCGTGTGCGCACTGCTGCTCTGATCCTCCGATCCATCCGAGCAGAAATTATATCTGTCGCTCTCCGTGTCCTCAGCAAGGCTGCTACCCGCACTGCCCTCCGCCCGCTGAGGCGACAGCCCGAAGCTGCTCAGCGGGCAGGAGGGGTAGCGCGTCAGGGGAAACTGTCGGATATTGTACTTGCTGGTCATCGATAGGTTCTCGTTGAAGTATATGACATTGGAGGTGCCGTTCGGCTCCAGCTCCAGCTCGCGCTCTCGCTCCCTCGCTCTGCTGATGCTCAGGTCGTGATATTTACGCAAGAAGGCTGCATTGCAGTCGGCTGCTGTATATTCGTGAAGCTTCTTCGGCTTCTGTACGGGATGATGTGACGAATAGAGTTGCTGCTGCTGCTGCTGCTGCGACTGCTGATGTTGCTGCTGTTGTTGTGGTCCATTGCTCTTATTGTTATTGCCATTTCCATTGCCATGGTTGCTGTTGTTGTTGTTATTCTCGCCGACAGATATTCCGCCGGACCGCAGAAGATCGAACAAGCGCTGCTTGAGATCGCGCATTGCGTAGGCATGGGCGCGTTACCTAGCTGACTGTCTGCAATAATAGATGAATCATAACAATATTAGTACTTCATTTACAATAATAATAAATATTAATTCATACGTTAGGTAAAGTATATTTTGTATATTTTTACGCGGCTATTTTTAAGAAAGCAAAAGCTTTTCAAGTGTCATAGCAAAGAGCTTGTGTGCGTTAGCAACGATATGAGCGCTACCACACAAATTCCATACGATATATCTGACCAAACCACAATCAGTGCTCAATGCGGACTCGTGATGTAGCAGTCAGCTTGCAATCGTTAGCGCGCACATGTTGGGCAGCCATATGGATTTACCAAATTGAGTAAATACTTGCGTGTTATCGATTGGTAAATTTCTGCACCAAAACATTTAACAAAATTTATACGCGAAACCTAAACAATCGCCATTTCTTCAAAAACCCTGAGCTGAGAGTAAATACTGCACAATAAATCAAAATTCGAGCAAGCTAACTTTCTGCCGTGCCGCATTTACAGATACAACAATATGAGTACACAGCGCGGCAACGCGACTCGCACACGTGCACAAAAACACAAAAATCGTCATGTATTTAAAAACGATTTGCATGACAAAACACCACAGCAGATGCGCCTCAACAAAATGCATGTGTCGACCGTATGCCAGCGCTGCAAGGAAGTCATTGAGTGGAAGATCAAGTACAAGAAGTACAAGCCCCTCACGCAGGCCAAGACGTGCGCCCGCTGTCAACAGCGGACTGTCCGCAAGGCGTACCATGTCATCTGCAAGGATTGCGCCGTCAAGGATCATGTGTGTGCCAAGTGTCTGAAGAGTGCCGACGAGGTGGAAATTGAGGCGCCACAGCCGACGCCGCAGGAAGAGCAGCAGCTGCAAGTCGAAATGGACAGATTAATCAAATCGTTCTCAGAGCGCAAGCGACGCGCCTTTCTACGCTTCATGGAGAAGGGGCGCAAACAGGAAGCCCAAGAGCCACTCGACGAGGAGGAGCGTGAAGCTCAAGAGAAGGCAACACGGGTTAGGCATACACGCGAAGAGCTGCTAGAGAAGATCAAACAGCTGAATCTCGCCGAAGAAGACGACGATTATGGCGAAGATGATGACGAAGACGAGGAGGGGGAATCTGATCGCGGCTCAGAGGAAAGCAGCAGTGAAGAGGATAGCGAGGAAGAGCCGCAAAAAGCGAAAACTATAGTAAAGAAGTAACGTTCAACTGCCTTAACGCTGTGCATTTAGAGTATAGTAAACAAATTTTTTTTGTATATACATACAAATAAATATAAAATTAATTAAAAATTTAGCTCATATTTTTCATAAAAATGTAATTTAAATTGCAGTTTGTTGGCCGCACGAAAAGCTTAAAAAGTTTTAATATACGGCGAAGTTGAGTTTATTCACGAAATTAGCGAAAGCTATAATCGATTAAATGTAATCGATTTCAGTCGTTCACAAGCTGATTGCTACAGCATTCAGTTCTAGCCGGCAGTAGCGATTCCCATCTTAGCAAATTTGCAATTTGTATATTTTGACAGGAGCATCGAAGGATAAATAAGTACGGCAAGGCTTGCAAAATGACAAATAAAAAGCCGAAGACCGGCCGAGCTCGCCGGAACAAGACCAAATCAAAGAACGACGTCGGAGAAGTCGGACAGTCACTTCTGGCACAGACACCAAAGTCTAAGACCAAACAGAAAAAAAAATTAAAAACGGACAAAACTAACGATCTCGACCAACAAAAGCTGACATTAGAACAGATACATTGTCTGCATCAGATTGTGCTCGATTTTTTAAAAGGAAACGAACCGTGCCAAGAAATATTTGGTTTAAGCAATATGGAGCGTAAAGAGGTTCATAATTTTGCTAGACAGCAAGGCGTCAAAACGCGCAGCCGTAGCCAAGACGGCGACCGTGTGCTAACACTCAGCCGCAGCGAAAGCAACCGAATGAGTACGTTCCTCGGCGATGTCAGGCTGTCCGTATCTTTGCAATTCGGCAGTGTTCTTAACAAGGCACTAAGTGAACTGGGCCGCCGCAGAACAGTGCCCATTCAGCCGAAACGTTGCAGCCAGTCGCTCATCCAAAATGGAGGTCTGCTGGGCATGCCGCTCGTGCCTCCATTTCCGCGCTGCACTAATGCAACGCTGACCGCCGAACGCAAGGAGCTGCCTATATACACAAAGCGCCAGCGTATTTTCCAACTGCTTGAGATGTCGCAGGTAAGTGAGACTTCCATGACAATCAACAGCCCATGGCCACATCTCTCCTGTCACGTTCAATTGGCTTTTAGGTACTTATTGTTAACGGCGCCACAGGCTCCGGCAAGTCGACCCAACTGCCACAGTATCTGCTCGAGGATGCGGCAGTCATGAAAAAACCAGTGCGCATTGTGGTCAGCCAGCCGCGTCGCATTGCCGCCATCAGTGTGTCCGGGCGCATTGCCGAAGAACGCGGCGAGGTGGTCGGCGAAACCGTGGGCTATATTATACGAATGGAGAGTAAGTATTGCAGTAGTCCAACCGACCCGACCCCGCCCCATCTCACCATCTCATCTGCTCTGCAGGCAGGTACAGCAATAATACTGCGCTGGCACTGACCACTAGTGGGTGCCTGCTGCGCACCCTGGCCATGCAAGGGCCCGAGTTCTTTGAAAACACAACACATCTGGTTATTGATGAGGTCCACGACCGCGATCTGGACACAGACTTCCTACTACTAGCAATTAAGTTGGAGCTCGAGCGTAACAAGTCGCTCAAAGTGATATTGATGTCGGCCACCATGGATCTGTTGGCCTTGTCCAAATACTTTGATGATGCACCCGTCCTTAATGTGGAGGGTCGTAGCTTCAATGTGCGCGTCTATTCGCTGGAGGATATACTGCACATTACTGGCTACTTGACTCCGCAGATGAAGTGTCTGCTGGGCGATCGCAAGAATCTTGATGGCGAGCAGCTGATGCGCACCTATGCCCTGGCTCACAAAAACAACGAGCAGGATATTGACAACTCGTTGATAGTGTCGTTGTTGCAGGTGCTGCTGCTCATGGGCAAGAAGGGCGCCGTTATTGTCTACTTGCCTGGCTACCAGGACATGATCAAATTGATGGATATGGTTCATTCGTCTCTGCCTAAGAACATGATCAAGGTTATGCTACTGCACAGCCAGGTCGACAGCCAGAGGCAGAAAGATGTCTTTCGTGAATATACAAACGTCCAGCTCAAGGTGGTGCTCAGCACCAACATTGGCCAGACCTCGATCACCATAAGCGATCTGCTGTATGTGGTCGATACGGGTCGCGTCAAGATGAAGACCTACGACCCATCGACAGGCGCCTCACATCTGGCCTGCACCTGGATATCCCAGGCGGACGCACAGCAGCGCACCGGACGTGCCGGCAGGCGTAAAGATGGCATTTGCTATCGTCTGTATAGCAACGCTCAGTTCCAGTCCTTCAGTTCCTTCACCGTGCCGGAGATATTGCGCCATACTCTCGACGAGGTCTGTCTCTTGGCCAAGATGGCAGCCCCGACCAAGCCAATCGAAGAGTTCCTATCCCAGGCTCTGGATCGTCCGCAGTCCACCGCCATTATTAAGTCGTGCGCCAAGCTGAAGCTCTTGGGCGTGCTGCGCGACGTGGACGAGAGCGTCACTCAACTGGGCCGTATCATAGCCGAGCTGCCGCTGGATGTGCAGCTGGCCAAGTGCATGGTCTATGGCATCTACTACCAATGCATGGGCAGCCTGAGCATCATTACCGCCTACTACTCGGTGCGTGATCCGTTTGTGCTGCCCAGCGATCGCTCCGGACGCACCGAGCAGCGCAAGTCGCGCGACTTCTTTAGCATTGAACCGTGCAGCGATTCGATTGGGATCCTTCAGCTATATCATGCCTACATGTCCGCCGACAGAAAGGGCGGCCACGAAATGGACAGATTCTGCGAGAGGAACTGCCTCTGCCGCAAATCCATGGATAATTTCGTCGCAGCTGTGCAGAGCCTACGCCTCACTCTGATGCGCATATTCAACTTCCCGAACATGCGCATGACCACCAGGTATGACAACAACCTAAACATGGTACGCCTTGCCCTGACAGCTGGCCTCTACCCGCGCATCGCCCACGTCGAACATTCGAAACACCCCCATCTAGTCGAGGAGTTTGATCTGCGTGTCCAGATCTCCCGCAACTCTACCTTGCTGCCCTGTTTCTCAAGGCGCCCCAAGAGCACCATGAACGAATGGGTCGTTTACGTGGAGAAGACACGTTCAGCCGGCTTCGTCTCGCACATTGAGCATGCCACGCTGATCAGCACCCTCATGGTGGCGCTGCAATGCGGCAAGACGGTCAAACTGGAGCAACATGTGCCGGAACTGTGTTTCTATGAGGACGAAACGTACAATAAAGTGGAACAAAGCATCCTGCGCCTGGACTCCTGGGTGCGCATTCGCCTCTCAACTGAGCTGGGCTCCAATCTGATCAGGCTGCGCTCCCACATTGCCCAGGAGTTTGATGAAATGATCTCCTCCCGCACCATGGTGCCCTCGCGCTGTCCATCCGTCGACTATGTCCAGAAACTGCTGGACCTCGACGCCGACCTGTCGGGCCTAACCGCCACAGACATTGAGTTTTACTGAGAAGACCAGAGTTTTTCCTTTAAAAATTTCCATTTTAATCTAAGTGTCGAGGATGCCAAACAACTTTGACATGGTGACTTTTGTCGCCATGACTGCATTCTCGAAAATTCTGTAAAATCAAAAGACTATCAACATAACCACAAAACGAATTCAATGTCCCAAATAGCCCTGAACCTCACTACAGCCACTGCAAGTCCCATCTTGAATTGTCAACATCCACGTGAATCGATTCATCAAATGAAGTCTATATGAAAATATGTACGCATACAGATATGCATGTTGACATTCCGAATGTATTTGTATGTCTTAATATATTTCATTTCAATCATATATGTATCTATGTACACATGTTACATAATATTACAACTAACCTGAAAATTGACTTAGTCATACCGGCAAGTCTCTTCACACTCACACTCACACTCACGCTACTATTTACAATGTACAATGCAAATATCAAATATTGATGAAAATGTGAAGCAGTATTAACATGCGGCAATCGTATGACCCAACTAATTGTGAAGAACTTGTGCATATCTCTAATTCGAATTGTAATGTTTAACATAAATAATCTTCTCCAAAGACTGCTGTGAATGCTAAAACAAAAAACAAAAAAAGAAAAAAAAAAAAAAAAAACTAGATATAAATACTCATGTACTTGAAGTTTACGCATTTTGCTAAGCTCGTTAATGCTCAACGATGGAGAGCGAAGAAGACGGATGGAGAGAGAAAGAGAAGGAAACATACTTTGGTATGTAAGGAAGGCTATGAACACAAAAATACATTATTTTAAATATGTATCATGAATGTGAATAAAAATAAGTTGGCTTTGCTAAATGAACGAATTGATTGATTGATTGACGTTCAGCTCAATCAGCTGAAAGTCTAGATGTAAGTTGTTGACCAAATAAATTTATATATTATATAAATAATATTATATATTATATAAATATAAAATAGTATAAACAACATAAAAGCTTTTAGCAAATTATAAGATAGTTTAGTAAATCTATTGACTGATATTATTAAGATACTGTAGAGGACAAGAGACATAAAGAGAGAGAGAGAGAGAGGATGTAATGAAGGCCTTAAATGTTAATAGAGCTATCAATGTATATACTAGATACGTATGTAAGTACTCTATGATATACTCGTTGATCATCTTAGGTAGTGCTGAAATAAATATTTGATCTTACAGAGAGAAACTGTCGAGGATGCCTAATTGTTAAATATATTTATATAAAATAACATAAAAAAGAGAGAGATAGAGATAGAGAGAGAAAGAGAGAGAGAATGTAAATATATATATAAAAAAATATGCATATATGAGAGGGCTCACTTCACTGATGGATGGTAATCTTAGCTGCGATGAATACCTGATATCCTATAGAGAGAGGATAAGCTGATAAATATATATGAACATATTTGTATATGTATGTATATAAGATATTGATTGATCAGCTTATTGACTAATGAACATGAGCAATGAGGGATCTTCTAGAGGAAGCCCAGCTTAACCTGGCTTACGACTGTCGCTACACTACAATGGAAAATGTTGTTGATGTTTTGGCTGCAGTCGCTGCTCTGGCTGTGCGTGGCATGAAATATGCCAGCACTTTAATTGCTGGGTGAAAAGATGTGTGCCACAAGTGCATGGAATGCAGCTGCCACTAAGTCAGCGTCAGTGTCTGCCTCGGCGTCACAGTCACAGCCACAGCCGCAGTCAGTGTCAGTGTCAAACCTGGCGGCGGCGCCCTGTTCGGCGACGGCTCCTTCGTTAGCCCATTGTGGCAATGTTGGGGCAATTTTCATGTTTCTCCGCGACTTGCTGGGGGAGGGGGTGAATCGCGGCAGCAGGCCCAGCCCCCTGGGCCAAGTGCGACCCATTGAGGCGCAACAGAGCAGCAAGCAGCAGCAGCAGCAACAACAGTTTGTAATTGCATAGGCAACGTTGTTGTTGGCGCATGCGCGCAGTCAATAAACCTGAGCAGCCTCGTTGCTGTTGTTGTTTGGGGCTGTTGCTGCTGGTGTTGCGCCCCTCCGCTCTCTAACAATGGCAGCCAGGCCAATTTGGTCTGATGAAAAAGACAACGTGCCACAAGCGACAGAGGCAACAGAGGCAACAACGGCAACAAATGCAGCAAAGAAAGTGAAATTAATTTGTTACTTGTCTCCGAGTTCAGCCTGTCTAACTGTCTCTGTTGTTGTTGTTGTTGGTGTTGCTGCTGCTGCTGTTGTTGTTGTTTGCTGAAGTACCTTTCAATTATAAGCCAAGTTTTCCAAGTACCTACACGCATTGCTCTAGAAATTACATACATACATATGTATATGACCAATCGCCATTGTCGATTAGTTCCATTATTAGTTCCACTCGCTTATTTTGCAGCTGCTCAATTTCGAGCTGGTTCAGCTGTAGCACACTTCGAGATGAACTTGGTACGATAACCAATACAGTTTATAATCGACATGATATGGAAATACGTTTACATCATTCGTTTGTTTGTAATTTAATTACAAAATACATTCCAAATTCAAGACGAACATCCAGATGATCCGCCAAAGTTTAAGGAACTTAATATATATATATATATATATATATATAT